TCAAAATCACTCCCATAAGAAGTCTTAGGAAAAATCTCTCAGGTGGCATCAATAAAAATTCCTAAGCTCAGTCAAGAAGGAAAGAAGATAAAGAAGAATGAACACCAAGCTGAGAAGATGGAAGTTTGAAGTGGATGAAAGCACAAATGGGTTGATACTTTTGATCTAAATGAGTTCTGGATTACGGAAGAGACAACCAACAAGGTGTGGAAGAGGAAGTACCCCCATAAGGGGATGAACCTTCGAGCCATGCGACGTTAAACGAAGCGCTTCGTGGGAGACAATCCACGCTTTTAAATAACTTAGTTTCTTTTTATATTTGTTTCGTTTTGTCTACAGGTAATAAAAAGGGAGCCTTACTGGTGAAATCTATGAGGCAGCAGCATGTGTTGCATTACCCTCTGTTAGTCACCTTCTCGAGCTTGTTCTGAAATATTAGGGTCAATGTTTAGTTCAAGTTTGGGGGAGGGGGTATTGCTTTTATTCTTTTTGAATTATTTGTTAGTTCTATGCGAATTTCTATGTAAATCCACGAGTTGAAGTCCTCCAAATTTGGCCAAAATTTTTTGTTTTGATGAAGAATTTAGTTCTATAGAGTTTGGGAATAGTATATAGAGACAAAGGGATGGTTGTCCGAGGGTAGAAAGTTCGAAATAACGTGACAGGGATACGAGTCTAACATGTAGATTTGTACCATAGTACTTTAATCCTGAGAAGTATTCCTTGAATAGTTTATCTTGATAGTCTAGCATAAGATAGATTCACATGCATGTATGACTGGTTGAGAAATAAACAAAATTGTCACCAAATGATGAAAAGGCGGTAAAAGGCAACTGGCTCGCTAAGTTGGGTAGCCCTCACCAGGTTATTCAGCCCAAGGGGGGTTGATCCCCAAACGTTTTCCATAAAGGACAATATATAAATTGAAGAGTTTCATCTGAAATTAAAAAGGAGCAAAAGCTCTTATTTGGTGCTTGAACAAAAAAACTTTCTTGATCAATCTTGTGCGTGTGACGATCATCAAAAACTCTCACAACCTTAATTTGATTGTCCGAATGAAAAAGAGGAAAATCGAAAAAAGACTTAAGTACAAAACATAGTTAGAGAGGTATCTGAAGAGGAGGCTCGAGATTTAAAGGTTCTTACACAAACTCTTTGTGTCATGTGAACATCAGATGGACTGCTTTTTGATCAATTGGAACAGATGTCTCACGTATGAGTATCAGTCTGCTGTGATTTTAATGAGTTCTTGTAATGGTCGCTTGAGGTCAAGCAACAGTTTAAGTTTGGGGAAGTTTGATCAGTTGTTTTTACACAAGTATTTAACATTTATTTTAGTTATTGTTTCTTTTGATTGACGAGTATTTTATTTCATTTTACTGCATTTTATGCTTTGGTTGCATGTTTTAGTGTTTTCAGAGTCAGAGGGATAAAACATGATAATTCAAGGCGAAAAAGTGTAAAAATTCAGAGTTTCGGAGAAAGTAAAAAATCCACCTACATGAGGCCTGACACGGCCACCCGTGTTGCCCAACACGGGCCGTGTCAGGATGTGCAAGTGAAGAAAGAGGGAAGTCAGGGGTGCAACGTGGGTGGCCGTGTTTCAACTCCTAGGAGTTAAAGTTGATACTTAAAAATCCAAAAGGCCAACACGGGCCGTGTTGGCCTGTGATGCTGATTTCTGATTAGTTTTTTCTTCTCTATTTTGCCCATCTATTAAGCCGTGGGAGCGTTTTAGGTACTTCAAGTCGACCTAAATGAGTTCTTGCTATTTAGAGAACTTTCCACAATGAATGGAGGAACTTTTTGACTGGAGAAGATGAGGAACGATAAAGATAGGTGCTTTTAAGAGATTTGGAGATGGAGATTCCTTCATGAGTAACAACAATTGAAGATCGAAGAATCCTCACCTTTTGTAATGTCTAATTTTATTATTGCTTTTCTTTTGAATACTATGAGAGACTAAACCCCCCAACGCTAGGGGGTGTCCCTCATTTGATTCTGTAATAACTTTGAATTTCCGATTTCATCAATTACATGGTTTTTATTATCCGATTTAATTGTACAAGGTTTTTCATGCTTTCTTTATCGGACAAATAAGGATTATTCTACGGTTAACAATTAGTTGGACCGCAATTGTTAAGTTTTTTGTACAATTAGACTATAGTAGATATCACCTAGGACTAGGGATACCATATAGTTACCGGATTTAACCCTTGATAAAATAAAGGCTTGAATCCATCAAATATCTCTAAGGACTTAGGATTTAAGATGAGTGGTTAAAGTTTTTCTCACTAAGGACTTAGTGGAAAATAATCTAAAGGGTCGATAGTCGAAGTTAATGAACTTGTTGAAGAGATCAAGAGTAAAGGTTAGTATAGGGTCAGATCACACACCTACCCCTAGCATGCTCCTCATATAAGTAAAAGCCACTTTATATTCCTGCTATTTGTTAAGTGAAAAAATCACAACCAAAACCTCAAATCAAGTTTTGTCTAATTGAACCACAAATTAGACTCAATATTGATACGCAGTCCTTGAGATCGATATTCGGGAATTTCCCTATTATTACAAGAGGAAAAAAATAGTACACTTGTTATTTTTCCTATCAACGTTCATCACCTTTTATTACTCTCAAGTTATTACAGTATAATGTCCTGACATCTTGTGTGACTTTATAAGCAAACACCATTTCTTTTGGCTTAATACTTCTTCCAACACCTATCTTGGCCCTCAGACATGTTGTAGAGCACTTTGTTTCTTCAGGACTCTACAGATAGAAATTATCTTTTGATCTATTTCCGTACATGATAACCTCATCCTTCTCATTTGTTACCGGACATTCATTATTAGTAAAGTTAGCTCTGAGACCTTGATCACATAGTTGACTTATACTTATCAGGTTAGCATATAATCCTTCAACTAACATCACACCATCAAGACTAGGTTGTCCCACATACTCTAGCTTTTCAACACCCATTACTTTACCTTTTGATCCATCTCCATAAGTTAAAGTTTCAGTGGAAGATGTTTTGATTCCCACTAAGAATTTCTTGACACTTGTCATGTGTCTAGAACAATTGTTGCACCCCATAATTTATCCTCCTAATCGATACTTTTATCTGGATTAGACTTTGCATTCATTTACATATATTCTACTAGGTCATTAACATGCATATTATATTCAATAAAGTACCATGAGGTTCAATGTTCAGTGGTTGTGCAATATTAGAGTTTCACAGTGGTTAAGGTGTTTGTATCCAATAAAAGCTTATTTCTTCTGAGTATTATGTTTCTTCTTCAAGCAGCAAAGTATGGATTTATGGATGTGATCCATGATTGTTGTGGATCCTTTATTCACCAGGTTACAAGGGCTTTTCTTCTCCAATATTCACCCAAGTCTTAAATCAAAGTTTATTTCTTTGTATTTCTCAAGAGGATCAAGGTTTCTACTCATTGTGCTTAAGCATTGGCAATGGTTCTTCAACGAAGGATCATTTGATTGAGAATTTTAAGCATGCTAAATTAGGAAGGAAGATTTATGTGGACTTCTTGAAATGAAAGTTCTCGAAATTTAAGGCATTGTTATTTTTTCAAATAGTTGCAAAGCAGGTTACTTGTGTTGGGAGCATTTGAAGTCGGGAGTTTCGTTGAGTTAAAGATGGTTTGAAGGAGCATCCAAAAATATCATGAAGTTCAAATTGGTATTCTAGTTAGGAGAACATATCATTCAAGGAAAAAATCATTCATCATTTAAAGTCCCCATTGATTCAAGTTTCTTTCCAGAATTGGTTTCAAGGCTCTTAAACTTTGTTTTGATCATGGTGTCAAGAAACTGATTCGAGCAAGATTGGAAGATTTGTGACAGATTTCGTGGATTCAAGGATTATCTGAGTTCATTCAAATTTCATTCATGATTTGGTTTGGAATTTCATTCAAATGTTCTTCATCCATATATTCAAATGTTCTTCATCCATATATTCATTTAAGTTCCAGTTCAATTATCAAACATCAAGGTTCATCATAAATTATTCAAAACTATCATTACCATGTTTCATACAAGTCTATAAAGGCATGTTTCCATTAAAAAAACATTATCATAAATCTCATGTTACAAATTTCCAAAACATTACATCATACAAAAAATAATACACAAATAAGTCACATTCCATGAATCAATTGTTAAGTCTAAACTCTACACCCAAACCTCTCACACCATCTTCTCAATTTTCCTTGACTTGATACAAACCATGATCACAATTGGGACAGTCTGGCCTAAACAAAGAAAATCCACCAATTAATGTCACTCCAATTCTCTAAACCCGCAACATGAAATATTCCCATAAACCATAAGTAAATAGCCCTGCATACCATGATATGGGAATTAGAAAACAGAAGGAAATTATCGCATCAGGAAGAAAATCATGAGAAGTGAATCCCAGCCCTGTTCAAGGAGGGAAATATCAGGAAAATCATGTGGAGAAAGCTTCCTATGGATACTCATTTTTTAGCTTGTTATACATAACATAAATGCATCAGGAAAATACAAAAAAAAAAAAACAGAAAAATCAAAAGCAAGTTCACTAACAAAATGACAGTTCAGCAGAAATATCAAAATAGAATTTGAAAGAGTTCTAACCAATTCAATCTGAGATTCAATCCCAGCCATCAAAATCTCAAACCGATTTTCATATTCAACGGCTCAGATTCGTGTAGATCTAACAAACTTTCTAAGTTCTAACAGAAATATATAACTGAAAACTCACCTTGCATCGACCATTCTTCAAATCTTTGAAGAATCTCTATCAAACTCTCTCAACTTTCTCTACTTCAAGCATCTTCAACCTTCAACAAGGGCTTCACTTCATCTCGATTTTCTAATCAATCTTCAAGTGCATAGCACCATTTTCCACAACCGCAACTGCTGGATTATTCATCATCACCATCGATCCGTGAATATCTTCATCCTCATCACCTTCCATTTGTTATGCAAAGCCTCATCATCCTCGATCCATCATGTGAATCACATCGCAGCAAGCACAATATTTCTGCAAGAACGGAAAAGAAGTCGCGGCATCAAAATTCACTGAGAATCGAAATGAAGACGCGAATAGAAACACAAGCAGAAAGTAGAAGAGAAAAGAAGAGAAGAAGAGGAAGAATCGATAGCGAATCACATACCCGAGCCGCTGTTCTCTGGATCTCTCGTCGTATTCGTCAAGCTTGAAGACGCGCTGGATGAGCTCCGGCTGATAAGTCACATTTCCTCTTCTCTTTTCTGGTTTTGATTTGAGGTCTGAATTGTTTGGATCAGAACAATTGTGGTAGTAAGTTGAAATCACCGCCATTAAAAAGAGATAGTCACCGCGGGCTGCGTCTTTGAGAGAGACAAAGAGAATCGTTGAAAACGAGTGAAGGTGATGATCCTTAAGGCAAATCAGAGATGTTGAACAGCGTACTACTTCTCTATCGCGGAGTCGAACAAGAGAGAGTTCGCGAAAATGATGAGCAATGATGAAACAGTATCAGAGTTATGAAGCACAACTTACCGCGTGAGGCCGATCAGAATGAGACGGTGGCGGTAGTTTGTTATCACGGCACCGTTTAGAAGAGAGAAAGAGAATGATTTTTTTGAAACTCCAAGCGTCACAAACTCTTTTCAATCCTATCCAAACAAAACGCTGCCATTTCTCCTTTATCTCATTTATTTTTTTGTTATTTTTCTTTTTTTATTATAAGAACTGAATAAAATCTAAATATATTTGGACCTGGTATTTTCGTTGGACTCTGCTTGGCCCGTTGCTCTTTTTGGAAGCATATTACCTTACACCAAAAAACTTTGATCTGGGCTCAATCAAAGAGATTCTTGATTATTATAATGGGCCTTTCACCTAGAGCAATTGACTGCACCATAGCCTCAGTTTCAGGCTCGCACCCCTTGATCTTTCTATTTTCTTGTTAGATTTAGGACTTTCTCTTAATTTTTTCTATATCTTTTTATGATAAAAAACTGCAAAATTAATAAAAATTTGTTAGATTTTCTTATTTGATTTTAGGAATTAATTCTTGATTATTCGATTAAAATGTTTCTCATTACATGAGGTTTGTGATTCTCTTTTGTTTGTCGAGATTTGTGTCTTATGCAGTTGTATTGTTCGATATTCGGATGTCGATTATGATTTATTTTCATATCGATGATGCTTCGACACTTATTCTGAGCATCTGATTTCTGACTATGTGCTTTATTGGTGAAGCTTGCACGAAGTTTTCCGGGTATCTTTGCTTTGCTTGCTTGTTACGAACTCTTGTTCGTTTGGTATTGATCTGATTTTGGTTTATATTCTGCATTGTATTTTCTTTTTTCCTTGCCATGAGAAGTAGGAATAGAGATGCATGATTAGGAGTCCCTACTTTAGGTGGGAAAATTTGTTTAACGTCCTCAAAGGAGGCAATGCTTGTGCTTGTTTAAAGTCATCAAAAGAGGCAATGTTTGTGTTTGTTTAAAGACCTCAAAAAGATGCAATTTTGCAAAAGTCCTCAAAGAAGGCAATTCCCCCTTTTACTTTGTGCTTTCTATTAAGTCAATAAGTGGAGAAAAGGACTCGCAATCGGCCCTCACACATTCTAGTTCGTGTCGTTCTTAGCTCACGTTATACACTGATGCTTTGAACCGTGCTTATTCTTCCATTGAGTCAAATAAAGTGGAAATGGTTTGTAACCAACCCCCACACGTTGTCATTTGTTTCTAAGATGTTAGCTCACGTTTGTTTAAATGTTGATGCTTCGAGTTATTACTCGAGTTATTACTCCCACTTTGAAATCCATTGGATTCTTTGTTTGTTGCTAGCTCGCACTTGATCTTTGTTTTGGTTTTGGTTTAAATTCTTTTGATTGCACTTGTGTTTGTACTTTTCTTTAGATCTATGCACACTCCCCTAGGATTGCTTGTTTCATTTTCAATTCAATTTGGACATTAGGTTGTGATCTTTGCATGTTCTCTTAGGATTTCTTGTTTCCTTTTCAATTCAAGTTGGATATTAGGTTGTAACCTTTGCATGTTCCCTTAGGATTTCTTTTTTCGTTTTCGACTCAAGTTGGACATTAGGTTGTAACTTAGGTAGAGATTTCTCTTTGTTACCCAAATCTTAGGGCCATCATTGTATGATAACATTAGGGGTAGAGATAGGTAGTCTCCCTTAGAATTTTTTTCATTTCCCTTTTTTCATGCTTAAAACTAAAACTTTCTTTTTCTTTGTTCAAACTTTAAAACACTCTAATATTAGTAAACCTTTTTCAACGTAAAAAACACCAACCAATGCAAACCTTTTTGTCTTTGAACTTTTTATTTTAAAACCTTTTTAAAAAAGGACATGCTTCGATAGCATCGTTCATAAAAAATATGCAACCAACCAAAACTTTTGAGGTGAACTACGAGTTCCTTGATCCCCATTGCACAAACGGTGGTACGTGGGCACAAAAGTTCACAACTGAGGCAGGCACGACTAATAAAACCTTTTCTTTTGTACATAATACTTTGCATACATGCATTTTACCCTTAGCTCATAAGCTTTAGATTTAAACACACCCTTTAGATTAGAATAACAAGAGTGGATCCCATGGAGTACCATGGATGTGAGGGATGTTAATACCTTCCCCTTTCATAATCGACTCCCTTATCTCTTCTCTTTGTCGCAAGACCTTGATTTCTCCCTCTTCAGGTTTTCTTTGATGATTTCCTTTCCCTTCTTGTGGGATAAATAAATGTATGATAGTGACTTCATTGTTTGTTTGAGAGGTTTATTTTCTCAGGTTGCTTAAACAACAACTATCAAAATACCATGCTTCTCCATCTGATGCTTTGAGAGTTATGTGAGTTACTTCCTTATACGTACCATTTTTAGGAATCCACCCTTTTTCTTTATTCACACTCTGTCTTCTTCTAGATTGTGGTGAAAATTTGGGATAGCCATATAGCTTGTTGTAGTAATGTTTTAAGTGACTAACCTTTGTGCAATAAGAACATTTCCATATCTGATTCCTGCCTCCCTTATAACTTTTTTAATGTCTATGCTAATGTTGGGGCATGAGATCTAACATCTTTTGCTCTTGATCCTTCATTGAGAGAACAAACTTTACTTCGGGCTTTACTTCTTTGTTCTTCACACCTTGACTCTCATAACCAATACCTCTAACATTACCAACATTCCTACCAACTTCAAGAGTCTCATCCAAAGCATCAGAACCATTATTTAACATTCTTACAGATTTAGTCATATTATCCAGTTTTGAATTTAGCAATACAACTTCCTCCTTCAGATCAGAAATCATGGATAAATGTTTTACTTCCTCAGCCTGTAGTTGAGCAATGACTCTTTTTTGCTCTTCTCCTTTTTGACATACTTCTTCATTTTTGATACACAACTCCATGTACGAGGCAACGAGTTCCTCAAAATTAAGTTCTTCGTCATAATCATAAACTCCAGTCAATGCATTCACTTGTTTGATTGATTCCTCTTCATGATCGCTTTCAGAGTCTTCCTCTGGCCATGACTCAAATAGACCTTTCTTCTGCTTCTTGAGGTAAGTGGCACACTCAGATTTTATGTGTCCAAATCCCTCACATTCATAGCACTGAACCCCTTTTCCCTGATTTGGATTTTCTTCAATCTTGAACTTTCCTCCATGGTCATAATTTTTATTGATTTCAAATGACATGTTCTTGGCATTTGACCTAGACTTCCTCAACACTTTGTTGAACTATCTTCCTAGTAACACAAGATCCTCAGATACTCCTGCTAAGTTCAAATCACCATTATCCTTCGAGTCTTTAATACTAGAAGCAAATGCTATACTCTTCTTTTTTTAGACCTTCCATTGATAGAAGATTCAAAGGTCGTAAGAGAGCTTTCAAGTTCATCCACATTCATATTGCTTATATCATGGGATTGTTCAATGGAAATCACCTTCATGTCAAACCTTTTTGGAAGAGATCTGAGCATCTCCTGATCAACTTATCCTCTAATATCTTCTCTCCTAAGTCTTCTGAGTCATTAGCAATGTCTAGAATAGTCATGTGAAAGTCCTGAATACTTTCATCCTTCTTCATCTTCAAGTTCTCAAATTTTGTCGAGAGAAGTTGAAGTTTTCCATCTTTACCTTATAATTTCCTTCATGGACCTTCCTTAAGGTCTCCCAAGTGGCTTTAGCATGCTTACAATTCTTTATCAGCTTGAAAATATTTTTATCAACTCCATTGAGTATGACATTTAATGCTTTGGAGTTTTCTTGGGCTGATAACTCATTAGCATCATTCCAATCTTCTTCAGGCTTCAGCATATCAATAACCTTACCATCTGCATCCACGACCTTTGGTGGTTCCCATCATTTGACAACATTTTCCAAGTCTTGTTGCCCAAGGATTTTATGAACATTTCCATATGAGGTTTCCAACTGTCATAGTTGGTACCATCCAGAATAGGTATTTTAACCATAACTCCATCATGCTTTTCCATTGCACCAGAAAGTCACTTCCCTGAATCTCACCCAGAGTCAAAGCAGGATGCTTGCTCTGATACCAATTGAAATTCTGGCTGTCAAATCTCGGATGTCCTAAGAGATATCGAGGCACCAGATCTGAATTCAACATGTAACAATAGGATATACACACAAACAAACAGTGTTGAAGGTAAATAACACAAAAATATGTTTACCCAATTCGGTGACAATAATACCTACTCTGGAGGCTACCAAGACATGGACAAAATTAATTAGATAGTATCAATTTGTAGACCATACATCAAACATACCAGTTTACAATCTACACACTTAATCACTACCCTCTGCTTAACTTCTACCTAAGACACACCTAGGTATGAGGCCCTCATGAAATCCCTCTTCAATCACACTCAACGATTGAAGCAACTCTAAACACAGTAGAGAAAAAAAATAGGAAGTCACTCTTCCAAGACACATAATCCTCAATGCTTAAAAGCTTATGAGAACTTACACATATATACACAATGCTTAAAAGCTTATGAGCATCTGACACACAAACATCCAATGCTTAAAAGCTTATGGATGCTTGACAGAACTTACAACCCAAAACAGTCATACTCTTCTATCAAGATGACATTAGAGAGTGTTGTACCCCAAAATTTTCTCTCTCATTTTCTTCAAGACATTCTTCTAAGATTCTCAAATACTCAAGGTTTCTCAAGAGTTGATCAGACAAACTCACCTCCTAAACAATGGATCAACAACTAGTGTTTCATCTTGTTCAAAGAAGATTGGATTGAAAGAGTCTCAAATGACTTTCATGGTTCATCATAGGTCCTCAATAATGCTTATG